TTACAAATGATAATCCTGTCATAGATTAGCATTTGTCTTTTTAGCTACCTATATTATAGTAGTGCCACACATAGGAAGACTGTTATTACCTAGGAATTCTATACATATATGTGTATATATGTATATAATACATATCATGTGTGCATATATATTGATTTGTGTTAGTTACTAGTTTCTTATGGCCGCTTTATCAAATTAATATAAGCTTAATGACTTAAAACAGCAAAAGTATAGATTTGAGAGGTTGTAACTGGATATCAAAACTGAGATATGAAAGTAAGATGTCTGAAACAGGTCTTACTGGGTCAAGGTCAAGGTGAGGTCGGGCTGTGACTTGGGAGTGTCTGGCTTCTCTGAATTGCCTGCATTACTTGGCACATAGCCTCTTCCTTCAACCATAAAGCCAGCAGTGAGGTCACGTTTTCCCCTACTTCATTACTGTGACACTCATCCCCTTACCTCCCATGTTCATTTACAGGGACCCTTGTTATGACAGTGGGCCTACCTGGATAACTTAGTATCGAGATCAGCTGCTTCGCAAATTTACTTCTGTCTTTAACCTCATTCTCTCTCCATGCAGCATTACATATTCACAGCTTCTGGGAATGAAGATGTGGACATTGCAGGGGAATATGATACTTTATTCCTCCTACCATTTTGTCGGGCCTAAATTTTAGCATGGTTACTCTGGTGTTACACTAACAGAGTACTAAAAGGGGTCAACTATATAATCATATATAAAGCTAATGCAGTGAACCATAAAAAATGAACTGAAGTAATAATAGCAAGGGAGGCAGTGAGATGCCAGATTAATTTTCAAGATAATTTGCAAGCTTTTTAGATGTAAGATCTGAGTGAAAGAGAAGAGTCCAGTGAGCTTTAGTTTTTGCTTGAACAGTTGGGAGAATTAAGATTGAGAAAAACACTGAAAAAGCAAGGATAGGGTATCAGTGGTGGTGTTGGCCTGGCTGAGGAAGGGGAGCTGGGAGGAGAGCAAGAACTTAATTTTTGACATAATCTTGAAATGTCTATAAGAAATCCAAGTAGAGGTGTCAGAGAGTTAGATAGACAATTCTAGAATTTAGAAGAGTGGTCTTTCTTGGAGATATAAAATTCTTATTCTTCAGCTTGTCAATGGTAGTTTAAAACACAAGACCAAAGGGGCTCACGTAATGGAGAAAAGAGAATAGGCTCTAATCATGTGACTTTGGAGTAGTTGAACCAAGCAAAGAAGACAGAGAAGCCAGTGATTAGAATGAAAAACATGTCTACTAGATCTAATTTCTGAAATATTTTCAGAATGTCAGTATTATTGGACCAGATGATGACAGCTGGTATTTTCTAGTCAATTGCTTTTGAAAAACTATACTGGCTGTTTGAACTCTTATCATATAGATTGCCTGCTGTCGGAGTCCATTCTGTATCCCTTAGAAGTTCTTTTAGGATTCTCTCTATCCATGTAACATTTGGTCTAAGAAGTTTAATGAGATACTATTGAGAAACACATTAATGTCATTTTTAGAGGGTGATCTAGTTACATGGGATCTGTATGAAATATTAGAATTCAGAATGGAGCAAGAAATTTAGTTACTTCCTTAAGCTGCAGAAATTAATTTTAGGATTTTTATACTTTTTAAATCATCCCCAGTGGTGACTGCTTTCCCTTGGATTATGGATTTAACTTACAACAACATTCATTTGTGTGTTGTTGGGTACCATGAAAACTGGTAAGTTGAGATAGCATTCTAGAAGGTAATTTAGCACATGTACCTAAATAGCCTTAGGTTTTTACATACACATTGACAAAATAATTCTGCTGATGGGAATTTATTATAAGGAAACAGTCTTAGGTATGTGCAGAGATTTCTTTATGGAATTATTTATTTTAGTGAAAAAACAATCTAAACATGCAGTGTTATAAAAACAGGTTTGGGAATATCTATTCAATATAATACTACAGCCATTAATACTCATTGTTATAGAAAATGTCAAGTGAGATAGAAAAAAGGAAAAAGGATCTACAATTATATGTGGAAACTATGTGAACACTGTATGTGAACAGGTATATATATATATAATAGATGAATATATCGGTAAATGTTAAAGTTTATTCCTTGGTAGTTTTTCCAAAATTTTTTCACTAAACATTGTAAAATGAACATATTCTAAATTTGAAACAAAAAAAAACAGTTTAAAGAAGATAAAATTTTAGATCCTTCAGACATATGTCTGATGGTGAAGTTGCTACCCAGTCTTTGTTCAGTAATAAAATTATAAAAGGAATTTTAAAGTTATTTGGAACCTTAACAACATCTCCAAAATAAATGAATTGCTTCCCAAAGAGAGTAGCTGGAAAGGCAACAATTACTTGGATTTGGAAGTTCCGGAATTGGATGCATTTTACATGGAGGCATAATTGACATAGTGAAATATGTAGATTATAAGTATACAAGTTTTGACAAAGGTACACATTTGTGTAATATGCAAATCAAAATACAGTTGGTATGTTGGTATAAAAAAGACTTCTCTCTAGGCATTATCATACCTTTAATAATTTCTTAATGCAAGTTAGAGGGTTTTTTCTGTTTGTTCACACTTGGATCACGTGCCTTGATCCCTGTCTCATGGAATGTACAGGGCCAGGTGAGAAGCTCCACCACTGGGCCTTCAGTGATGGCGTCCGATTTGTCCTGCTGGTTTTGCAGGGTGTTCAACTTGTGGGAAGCAGGAAACTTCTTGCACTTCCCAGGTGGCTGGTGGGGATTCTCATCAAGCAGATCTGTCTTCCAGCAGAGCCAGAGGTGTCTTATGGGAATTTTTGTGAAGGAATTGCAGATTGGATTCATTTGCTACCCTCTATGTTCCCATTTCCCATTGTTTATTTAAAAATAAAATAAAAAGGAAAAAGAGAAAGTCTGTCTTTCTGATACCCCTCTCCTTTGAATAACATAGCATATTTCAATAGTCAAATTAGATTTGCTGGTGAGCATTGGGAGAGCAATAAATTAAAACTACTTCTTTTTGCCTTTGCAATGAACTCTGGCCCTTTTAATTTATGACCTCTTGGACCAGAAGGATGGTTGAAATATCCTAACATATTTCTGAAACTACTTCACATCGCCAGCCTTTGCCTGGTCATCCTGAACTGCTAGTGTCAACATTCATTGAACTAAATTTAAGAAATAAGAGTTTCTTCCAGTATTGAGTCCCCAGGAAACATCCTTTTTCTCCTGTAATTCCAGATGCTTCCAAACAGAATTAACGGAGTAGCCATCTTATATTATTGTTGGGCTTTTGATTGTTTCTTGCAGTTGAAGGACTGTCTGACAGCAGGTCATGTAGCTACTCCAGTGGGTCTCCACAGGCAACAGGTCTTCTAGAGCAAAAAGCAGAAGTAGTTAACTTACCTAGGAATTACATTCAGCACGTTCATGGCTTATCTTATTTAGTTGTTATAAGAAACCAATAAAGTTGTAAGTGACTCTTCTGCAGATGTAATTAAAGCTCATAAAGGATAAGTATTTGTAGACTGCAAATAATGGTGCTAGAATTCCAATGCAGGTATGCTGACCACACTAACTGCTTCTAACTCCTGTACTGTGTTTTCCTCCTAAACTGATCCCTGCCATCTATCTCTTCTGGAAATCATTGTGTGTAATTAATTTTAACTTACTTTTGAAAGGTGCCATAGCTGGCCTTCTGTCCCTTGATGTATACTTCTCAAGAAAGCTAATCCTAATAGAATCTGGCCCTCTGAGATGGAGGAGAACTCCTAATTCCTGACTCCTGATCCCTGGTAACAGGCAAGAATGAAGGATCTCTTCTTTAGCATACCCACACTGCCAAGCAATCTCCATTCCATGTTTCTGTTGAATATATGGGGACAGTGGATTCACTTCTCTTCCAGAAGCCCCTCTTTCCTGAGACCTGTATGACTCCATCAGCCTGTCATTGACATCTCTTCCTTCACCTAGCAGCATTAGAAAACCAATTTACTCCCTGAAATAACTCCACAACCTCTGAATCAACCATGATTTTACTTAGGAGCAGGCTTCTGCTCTGAGCTTCTGAAGATACATGGATCTTGTCTGTTTTATTTACTGTGATGTTCTTAGAACAAGGGAAAATATTAAGAACTGAGTAAATTCTTGCTTAATGATCAAGTTGCACTGTCCTTTATGCCTGCCTGGTGGGATCCTCAGGTATCTGTGCCCCGGTGATGTGCTCGGGCCTCAGTAGAGCCACTGGAGACTACAGCAGCGTTCAAGCCGCCCAATAGTCCTGTGCTCCCTTAGTGAGCTGTAGGTAGCCATTCTACTCCACTTGATGGGAAAGAACACAGTTTAATCCTGTATTCCATGAGAGCTTCGAGCAGGTGTTTAGAAATTTGGAGGATGACTCAATAATGATGACCACACGTAAGTGGCAGACAGCAAAGCCCCACACGCAGGAGACTTTAAGCACTAGCTTGGAGTGAAGAAAAGTTTTTTTTTGTACATAGCTAGTGCAACCCTCATATTTCTGCCTTTCATCTCTTGATCTTGGTTTTTGCCTTGATCAATGCACTGGAACTGGTAGATTTGTGGCATTTTCATGTTAATTCATGGGATATTGTGTTGTTTATTTTTCATAATAGTACCTCCCAAATAAACAGAATTCAGTTCTCTGTGCAGTATGGATATAGATTTCACTCGTACCCATGTGTCCTTTGTGGTGGGCCCAGGACCATCACTTTTATATACCATTTTGAGTGTGTATTCTCTTTGCTCTCCATGACCCACACACACTCCCTCCTGTTCGGTAGGATCATGCTACATCTGGCCAGGTGATAAAGTAATGCTAATGCAATTTATTAAAATCTGTTTGAGACCTTTTCAGTTTGTTGATGAAACTGTTATTGTAGATTGTTTTCAAGTACAGGGTTCTTGATTCAGTTGAAACATAGGCAGTACACGTATCTGGTGATAAATGGTCTCTTGTTTCTTTTTCATTTTTTCCAGGCAAGAAAACTGATCAGTGATTTTGCCATTATTTTGTCCATTCTCATATTTTGTGTAATAGATGCCCTGGTAGGGGTAGACACTCCAAAACTAATCGTGCCGAGTGAGTTCAAGGTAAGCAAATGTTTATCTTTCAGTGTTCCTTGAACTCTTTGGCCTTCTTTCCTTTCTCCTGTTCTAGTTTATTGTGTGTATTTAATCTAATTTCTTCACTAAGATTAAGTGCAAAGACTAGGATCAAATGCCTAGCTCATATTAATTTTTATTTTAAAATGACATAACATTACAAATTCTTCCTTTTACTCTTGAATGCTGTTTTTAAATGTCACCTTGACCTACATAATTATTCTAGGAAGAATACAACATAACATCTCATTTTTATTTCATAAAATTGAGGTTGAAGCTCATAAAAATTAAGTAAATTGCCCAAGATTAGTGAACTACTGGTGTCAGGGATTAAAGTTCCAATCTCAATCTCTGGACTTCTGATCCAGTGTTCCTTATACACAAATAAACTGCCTGTAAGATACATTCACATCCCATGTAGATTTAACTGTTCCAAAGAAGGTATAACAGTTATTTTAAGAATCTATTGTTATATTCAGGTATAATGGATAAAATCTACATTTCATTTATTTTGAAATTATCAATCTTCCATTACAAGTCTTTCACCTGTTTTCTAAACAATTCTTATTCTCTCCACAGTCAAGATCATACACATGCTAAAAAATATGAAGCACACTGTAGCTTTAGTATAATAACTCCTCAATGGGGAAGGGATGTACATCTCACAGCAAATCGTATCTTTGCCATTGTCTCTGCTATCCTATTTATTAGCAAGTTGTCATGCAATCAGTCATTAATTCATTGAAGCCAAAATTTATAAAATAGTTAATTTCAACGAAACTCTGTACTGGGGGCTTGAAATGCACTAATGAACAAAACAAAGTACTTTTCCTTACGTACCCACCATACAGTAAAGGAAATAAAAGGTGAAATGACTCAGTGATGGAGTTATGAGGAAGGGAGGTAGACAGTGGAAATACTGTCAAAAAAGCAGTCAGACTTTCTCCATGGAAAATCTGGAGAAAAAAATTTGTAAATAAAATTCTATTTTAATTTCTGTATTTACATTGTTTAAAATAAGGAAATACATAGGGAGTTTTTTTTCCTGTAATAGATATATATGATCTTCTGACAGAAGAGGGACTATTTTTGAGGATTTGATCAGTTCTGGATAATTTTTCATACCTAAAGTAAAAAATCAAAATGTTTAAATTAGTTGTTATAACATATAAAAATATTTATAATTCTTTATATGTTATTTTATGAAGCTATCATAATTTGACAGCAGCATGAACAACTTTAATATAATTGCTAAATTCAGAAACAGAATTCATGATGGGCTTTATAATTTCTTGCTATATCTTTATTGAATAGTATACTTGGGATTTTCTTCTAGATACCCCTTAAATTTACATCACTTTATTCTCCTTTTTTTTTTTCGTACCAAGGATCAGTGTTGCGGACCTTGTATTTGCAAGGCAGGAGGTGGATCTACTGAGCTAAATCCCAAGCCCTAAGTCACTTTCTTCTATCCTGAGTCCTTATCTTAAATTATGCCCAAAATACAAAATGGTGTCCCCAGCTGTCTCAGCGTTACATATTTTTTTCTTTATTTCCTTTAAACATTACCTCAAAAATAACTTCTTGGGAAGATTTTTGGTGAATAATCTTTCTACAGCCTATAACTGTTTCTGTTTTCTAACATGTCTCTCTGTGTATCCTTCACTGATTTTTCACCAAGTAGCACATATTAACTTGATTTTGTTCTGAACATCTTTCTGCTTTAAGCCAACAAGTCCAAATCGAGGCTGGTTTGTCCCCCCATTTGGAGGAAACCCCTGGTGGGTGTACTTGGCTGCTGCTATTCCTGCATTGTTGGTCACCATTCTGATTTTCATGGACCAGCAAATCACTGCTGTAATTGTAAACAGGAAAGAACATAAGCTCAAGGTAAGTGTCTATAAGAACAGCTGTTGTTGTTTGGTACTTGAAAACACTGGTTCAAAACCGAGAGACTTGTATTGGAAGTTATATGATACTTCATGTTCCACAGGACTTGGTAGAGTTGATGACTGCCTTAGGTTGACATAGGTCCTCAATGTACTATCTTAGGAATAACACAATGATACCAAAGAAATGCTCCAAGTCATGTTTCCCATCACTATCAAGGAAGATAGTGTAGCACTTAATTGTGGTCACCCCACTCCTGGTTTTATTATGCCAATTGTCCTTAATGAAGACAGTGACACCGAAAGATTTCAGTGAGGCAGAGTGAGTACCTGCTCTCCATTCAGTTAACTCGAGTTTATTTGTTTTTTGTTTTTTTTTTAAAGTTTTAGGAGCCAGGGATATAGCTCAGGGGCAGAGTGCTTGCTGTGCTTGCACCAGACTCTGGGTTTAATCTTTAGCATCCCTATAAGTATGTACATATTTATGGAGTTCAGCTTGAAAACTAGCAATGTGAAAGAGTCAAATCAGGGTAATTAGCATTTCTATCTCTTCAAACTTTTATAATTTCTGTGTTTGGGGAAATTGAGGATTTATTTTTAAAGCATATTCAGGTAGTTCATGCATATAAACTATTGGTAAGTTTATATATATTTTTGTCCTCAAATATTTATCTTAGGATGGTACTGTCCACAAAGTAGCTGAAAATACTTTATTTTGTACATTTTAGGTTTTTAAAAAATTAGTTATGCATTTAAAGAAAATGTGTTAGTGGTCTGGGCTATCTTTCAAGAGGGCTGCCTAAAATGTTCCTCTACCTTTAGTGATTTTTTTTAAGTCACAAAGCATTTCAGAAATACCACTTGGAAAAGTGAAATATGAATAATAACTCTAATAAGTACTGTAAGTGCATGGGTGCCTACTATGAGTCAGGCCATGTTTATATTATATATTAGCTCATTAACTTCATATAACTACTGTATAAAGGAATCCTGAAAATGCATTAGACTCAGTTACCCAGAAGGAAGAGAGAAAATTAGGGTACAGTTCAGCAAAAGTTTAGCAGAAGGAAAAATCCAGGAAATATGAAGAATGATTTGACTATAGAAATCCATTGCATGGAGGAATAAGAGAGACAAGAGGATTCAGGTAAACAGTCCATTTAGAACCATGGCTCATGGTGAAAAAGGTGTACAGTAGGACTGGGAAAAAGATCAAAAGTTTTGCTCAAAGAAGAGATGTTTAGATTTTGAAAGTTTGGAGGGAGAGAAAGCTGAGAGTAATGAAGTGGTCCAAAGTATGTGACTAATTTCCAAAACGTCAAAGATGACTTTCAGGGCTGGAGGTTTGGCTCAGTGGTTCTGCTGCCTGCCTCGCAAGCACAATGACCCGAGTTCGATCCCTGGTGCCAAAAAAAAAAAAAAAAAAAAAAAAAAAAGGTGACTTTTGTCTGATCTTTGGGGGCTGAAGTACAGGGTGTATCTCATCTGTGTCCATGTTGGAATTGTTGGGGGATGACACAGGACCTGGTGAAGTGGAAGATATGAAAGAATGTAAGTTATAAAGTGTGCACCTGTCCTGGGGACCAGATTCAGAATAACTTGAATTTCAAAAGAAGGCAGTTTGTGGAATCATGAAAATAAATTACATATAATCTCACCTAATGTGGGAAGTTAGAGAAAGAAACTTTCACTTAAGATCAAACATTTTGTTGGACTTGATAATACGTGCTTGTAATCCCAACACTCTGAAAAGCTGAGGCAGGAGCATCTCAATTTTGAGTCTAGCCTGGGCAAATCAGCAGTTTAGGGATAATGTATCTCGAGAAAAACATGGTCAGTACTTTTAAAATCGCCTACCATTTGTCATTTCCTTTGCTCATTCTTTTTCTTGTGTTTCAAATATTTCTGTTTGGAATAAGTATTTCCCATACACCATATTTCCTTACCAGAATTTAAATAGTTTCTCCTATGAATGGTCTTGGTGATCAACTCACTCATTTGTGTTTGTTTGTGGTTTTGTCTTACCCTTATTTTTGAAAGGTCCTTTCTCTGGATATACAATTTGAAACATATTTTCTTTTAGCACTTAAAAGCTATTTTTCCATTATTTCTGATTTCCATAAAATTAAAATATTGGTATAATTTTCATTTTTATGCATCTCTTTTCCTTTTGTGTCTGCTTTGGAGTTTCACTTCAATCTGTATAGGCACAGATTTCAAATACTGGATTTTTTTTTTTTTTTTTTTTTTTTTTTTTTTT